CTGTTCCACCCCCTGCCTCGCCCACACTCCGCCCCACCCTGCCTGCCCGCAGGGCCACTCACCGCCTCCAGGGCCCGCCACAGATCGCCCAGGCAGCCCAGCAGCGCCATAGCGGCCACGCCCTCTGCCCACGCCCTACAGTATCAACTATGCACATTGGGGCGTGAGGGCAGAGTCTTGTCTATGCTGCCTAGTTGCCATGTCCTTGGCTGCACTGCTCACGCTCAGGGGTGACTCTCCTTCAGGAGTGCTGCTGGAGAGGAGGAGGTCGTGGGGGGAGGCGAGGCTGGGGCAACAGCACGTGTGCCCACAGAGAGGGCTCCGAGTGCCGCCTCTGGCACCCGTGCCATAGGTTCGCCACCACTGTCCTAGGTTATGTACATTGCCTGCCACACATTCTGAAAGTGTGAGGTTATTTAGAGAAAGAAATGACTTGTTTGATAACTTTTCTTCTGGGAGAGTCTGTGGCTGGAAATGAGTATTTAAAATAAGCGAACTAGAATTGTGGGACAAAGAAACAGGTTGTTTTGTTTTTCTTACATTGTTTACATGCAGTTCACTGCAACTAAATCTTTAGCTATATGCTAATTGGCTTATTTTCTTTGTTCCCCCCCCCCCTCTTTTCCACCAAGTCTCACGATCGTTTACAAGTCTATGGAGGACATTCGGATATGATTATGTGCATGACCATTCATAAGAGCATGGTAACACTTTGTTTTCCCTTTTCCGTAATATTAGGGATTTTCCTCTTATGATTATGGCTATCCGGAAATAGATTATTATTCTTCTTGCTTTGATGATAGTGTTTTGCAAGGAACTTGACACTTGGTTCCCTCTGGTTGGGAAATAGGACTGTAAAGCAATTATGAATTTCTTAGAAGTTGTATCTAAAGAGCCAAATGTCCTCAAACCCACTAGAGCAGGGGTCCTCAACCTTGGCAACTTTAAGACTTGTGGACTTCAACTCCCAGAAGCTTTGCTGGCTGAGGAATTCTGGGAGTTGAAGTCCACAAGTCTTAAAAGTTGCCAAGGTTGAGGACCCCTGCACTAGAGTACCCAATGAGGAGTATCTATCAACTGGGGGAAGATAAGCAGGCATTTGTATCTTATATTTAGGAACATCAAACTAGTCATCTGACATCACCACTTCTCTATGTGCATAAGGAGATTCTGGATTCTAGCCAGGCTTTAACAAAAGACATAAGTAAATTCACAGATCAGAAGAAGCCAGTCTAATGCACTGCAGTTGGATTGGACCCCAAACCTTTATCTGCCCTTGTGGGATGGCCAGGGGTAAGGGACTGTATTTAGTAGTATTTATGTAAATTTGGCACTCCTTCCCCCCCCCCGGTATTAAAAATTATCCCAGTTGGATATTTTAAAACAACTGAACTGTGATAAAATAATACAATTTTATCCAACTCTTTTCAACCTGTGAAAAGCATCAGATAACTTTTGAATAAACTTTTAATATTTGAGATGACTAAACCAGCAGAAATCTGAAAAGCACAGCAACTCTAGTTTAACCAGCAGCCTAAGTAATTAGGTTATATGTTTTTCACTTCTGTAGTAACCCAGGTGTGTGTCTGTTTTTTTAATTTTTTTAATTGGGCACTTACCATAGAATGCCTCCATAGCCTGAATGGCATCATTATAATTTGTTATCCCATTGACTGCATGCAAAAATTATTTCCCAGGAGGAGACTAGCACCATTCAAACACTTAATGATATTTGTACTGTTAAACCACTTGTTTAGTTACAGAATTTAATTTAATAAATCCATAGAGTAACTGAGGGACTTTATTCAATTGACGATCTTGCATTCGTTGGTTGCATATTAATGTATATTTTCTAAATATTACTACTGATTTCTTTGGCAAAATAGTTTTACAGTTCATACTTAGGTTTTATTTTCATAGATATACTAGCTGTTTTACTGTTATTGATATTTCAGTGTGTTTTTTTTAAAAAAAGTTCATACTAAAGGGTTTTTCACATCTTCAGTATACAGTATGCTGATTGAATTGCATCCCTTAATCCAACTATTATGAACTGAGTGATAAAGGACTGTATAGAAATTAATTTCAACATTTTGTTTTTTTTAATCACTAAAATATATAAGCTACTGTACAAAAAATAAATAGTCTAATCATAGTGGAATTCTAAATATAGTACCAGTGACTACTGCATTTGGTATATCCATGTCGTTTTATTCTTTTAATTCTAGAATTCTTTTTTTCTTCTTTCAGATCTACACAGGTTGCTATGATGGTAGTATCCAAGCCGTGCGGCTTAACCTGATGCAGAATTATCGTTGTTGGGTAAAGACAAAAGCATTTTTGCTCTTTTAGACTCTGAAGTTCATGCAGTTGTTTGTAATACTTGAAACCTGTTGAATCCACAGAAATGTAACATAAATAAGATAAAAATGTCAACAAAACCATATAGTTGAAACAGTTAAAATTGGAGTTGGGCAGTTATAAGAAATTCCACTATAAAAGGTAGGCTAGGCACAAGGTATCAAATATTATAAATAAACTCTCTAAGCCAAATTTGAATCAGATTCTTTACCTACTAATGGAAAACAATCAGTTCATTCCAGGTTCCAGATAAATCTCAAGTAGCCTTTAAACTCCTAAGTTTAGTCTTCATTTAAGAATGGCCAAAAATCTTGACTCCACCCACTCTATTCTTTGGGAGGGTGGGCTCAGAAAGATGCTGAAGGGTCTATCTGCCCATCCCTAGATGACTTTCATTTACATCCTAAGGAAGCTGTTGAAAACAGGACTCTTTTTCACTAGTTCATCATCCCCCCCATCAGGGCAAGGGAAGCATACTTTTCAGGTAATGGAACTGTTTATGTTGTGAAGGCACTATGATGACAGTGAGAGGTAAACCTCACTCTTCCTGGTGGAATCCCCTGGGCAAATGTAGGGCTTCTGGTACTTTTAAGTAATAAAAGTATTCTCAAGAGAGACAAACCAAGTGTGGTGTGGAAAGTTGAAAAAGCAGGAGCTGGTGCCCCTCCCCTTCAAGCAATCCTTATGTTAAAATGGGTGCTTTGAGAAGACCAGTACTTGATCCCTTAGTTCTCTCCCATCTTCAGCATGGAGGAACATCATAGTTCCTTTATATAATGTTGTATTCTGGAGCGGAAAGTGTCTGTCTCTGATAACTGCATGAAGTGTTGTTTTTTTTCGGATGAAAGGTGTAAAGATCTTGTCTGTAGTATCTTAGAGGGATAAAACAAACTTGGCACAATTGCTGCCAGGTTTCTGTTCAGAAAACTCAAGACTATAAATGTGATGTCTTTCAGAACGACCAAAAACTTCACGTTTATCATTTGACTCTCTTCTTTTTCCTATATGTGGATTGAAGTGGTCTTACAGTTTTGGTTACTTCAGTCCTATTCCTACTTGCTGTTAACATCGGATGTTTTTGCTTTGACAACAGTTGGAGATGCAACTATTTTCTTCTTATGTTTTACTTTTAGAGCTAGAGCTAGAGTTAGATGATGCTGGGGGGAGGAATGTGTATGAGAGTTCAGCTAGACAATAACAATACTGGACCTAGTGTGTGACCTAAGGTTATTGAAATAAGAGATGATAAGAATTGGCCGGTCTGGAGGGAAAGCCTGCATTTCAAACTAATTGGAGAATGTGATTTATGACTGTTAATTGGAGGAGGGAATTGTGCTTTGATACTATGTGCTCAGGGGAGGGGGATCCAATTTTTGGCTTCAACTGTGTTGGTGCCGATGCTATGCTTCTCAAATAAAGATTCTTTAAGGTAGACAATGCCTCAAAGTTCTCTGAAGAGTTTCATCCATTGGAACCATGACACTTGCAGTGTCAATGGAGGATTGAAAATCTTTGTGTTACACAAAGCTGTGCAGTATAGGGGTTAAGATGTTATAAGACCCAGGAGACCTTGGGAGCTCCTTGGATGATTTGGGGTCAGCCATTTTCTCTCAACCCAACTTATTTCAGAGTTGATGTTGGGAAAAATTTCTGAATGGAGTGCTGTGGACAAAAATGAATGAATGAATGAATGAATGTACCATTTATGGTTTTACAAAGCTAGCTTTTACTAAGTCATGCTAATTAAGGTTCCTCTAGTTCAATATTTTCTTATTTTTCTCTTTTTTAGATTTATGAACTGTAGAAAAATGGTTCCATTCTTAATGTCTCCACTAGCTTTTAGCCTTTCTTCTGTTAACTGGTTTTATGTCATTGCCATTCCCTCTTTCTAACAGTTTTATTTATTTTCTTTATCAGTGGCATGGGTGTTCACTTATATTTGGAGTTGTGGACCACTTGAAACAGCATTTGTTAAATGACCACACAAATCCGAATTTTCAAACTCTGAAGTGTCGCTGGAAAAATTGTGAGGCCTTCTTCACCTCCAGGAAAAGCTCCAAACAGGTATGTAGCAAAGAAATTGGATAAAAGATGAAAGATGAAGTAATTATTTGGAGTGTAGTTCTTGCAGCTTGGGAAGAGAGTGATCTACAAAAACTTTAATATGTGGGGGTTTTTTTTGAGAAAAAAAGGTGCACAATTAACTGGCAGTCCTGTTGCCACTGTGTTATAAGGAAACACAGAAGAGAGGAGAGGAAAATCTATTCCTGATGTAGTGTCAGAAATGTCTGGTGCCCTTGTTACTCTGCTGTTGATTCTTCGATAGTGGTAACTGGAAAAGAGACCAGTTTAAGGGTCTTGATCTACAATTCTCCTATTCTCTGCAGACTATAGAAGTACTATAATGTACTAGCTGTTGACATATTCTCTTTAGATTCCCCCTCTTTCCCCGCTTGTTCTGTTCTTTCTTTGTGAGCCCAGCAGCATTCTTTCTGTCATCAATTCTTCTTCTCAGGCCTTCATTGGATTGCCTTATAAGATATTTTTCTATCATATATGTTACTTACACATTGGTCATGCATGTACTAAACAGTTCATTAAACAACTAGTGAACATATCATAGAACATTTCACAAAGACCAATCAAATAAAAGCTAAAGCTGCTCAGTGAAAGCATGGGGATGCTTTTAACTTGCTGGTCAGAACTTAAGGATATAAGAAATTTAGTAATAAGAAAATTTCCACTTTGACTAGTGCTGTCCCAAATCTTGGATGTACACTGGCCTGGTCATTGAAGTGTTTAATTTTTTTATAGGTCGTTGGAGTATAAAAATCTGAGCTGATTGAAACCAACCCTCTTTTGTTTCTGCTTCTAGGATGCAGTGGGACATATCGAGAAGCATGCACAGGATGATAGCAAGATCGACTCATGACATTTTTCAGCCTCCCATATTGGGAAGTATTTTTTTATACACAAGAAATTTTACATGCCTTGTCCACCTCATTCTTTTCTTTTTCCTCCTGTTCATCCTTGGAGCGCAAAAAGAACACAAGCCTTTTTCTGTTTTGTCTACAGAGACACGATCTGTTCACAGCTCTGCAGAGAAAGGAATGACAGAGTCATGCCAAAAAGCTGTTTATACCATTCACTTGTTAGGAAAAAAATCTACTCTTCCTCTTATTTGCACTGTGCAAATAAGTGCATTGTGCTTATCTCTTACTAGGTATTCAGAGTAAAGTTGAATAAACTTGGGGCCCTACCTATATGTGTTTTAACCATCAGTTTT